GATGTTGGCTCACCACAACCTCCACCTCCCGGGTTCAAGCGATTCTCCTGCCTCGGCCTCCTGAGTAGCTGGGATTACAGGCACGTACGACCACACTTGGCTAATTTTTGTATTTTTAGTAGAGACAGCGTTTCATCATGTTGGTCAGGCTGGTCTCGAACTGCTGACCTCGTGATCTGCCCCACTCAGAGTCCCAAAGTGCTAGGATTACAGGCATGAGCCACCATGCCTGGCCATATTTTTGGTACCAAGAAAGGAAGCTAAAGTTGTGAGCCATATGAGCACAACACAGCCCACTCTCTCCCCATGTCTTTTTTTTTTTTTTTTTGAGACAGGGTCCGGCTCTGTCACCCAGGCTAGAGTGCAGTGTCACATTCATGGCTCACTGCAACCTCTGCCTCCTGGGCTCAAGTGATTTTCCCACCTCAGCCTTCCAAGTAGCTGGGACTGCGCACCACGCCTAGCTAATTATTATTATTATTATTTTTTGTTTGAGACAGAGTCTCGCTCTCTCTGCCAGGCTGGAGTGCAGTGGTGTGAGCTCAGCTCAGTGCAACCTCCGCTCCCTGGGATCAAGCGATTCCCGTGTCTCAGCCTCCCAAGTAGCTGGGATTACAGGTGCATGCCACCACGTCCATCTAATTTTTTTTTGTATTTTTAGTGAGATGGGATTTCGCCATGTTGACCAGGCTGGTTTCGAACTCCTGACCTCAAGTAATCCACCCGCCTTGGCCTTGCAAAGTGCTGGGATTACAGGCGTAAGCCACAGCACCTAGCCTATGGCGAATTTTTGTATTTTTAGTAGAGATAGGAATTCGCCATCTTACTCTGGCTGGTCTTGAACTCCTGACCTCAAGTGATCCACCCACCTTGACCTCCCAAAATGTTGGGATTACAGGTGTGAGCCACCACTCTTGTACCCCTTCCTCTTTTATGTATCAACTTCTCACATTGCCTGGGGACATCAATAGCCCGAACTAGATTAAGGTCTATTATGAATTCCTGAAACAATCCCTAAATGAACTAAAGACTGACATATCCCAATTGCCCCAGATGTTTCAAGAAATATTTAAGTCAGACAAAATCTGAGGCAAAGTCACTGGAGACCTCCATCATGAGACACAATGTCTTTGTTTCTGTCTCTCTGTGCCTTCAGCTCTCCCATCTCTTCCAATCCCCTTGAGAACTTTGTACCCATGGAAGGCCCACTCAATGATACTCTGTTTAATAAACCCAAGACATAAGTACCATTATCATCCCAATTTATGATGAAGAAACCGAAACAAAGAGAGGTTAAATAAGTTTCTCAAGGTCATACAGCTACTAAGCAGCAGTTTCTCCCCAGGAAAGAGAAAAAACATTTGGTCAGGAAACATGAATTAAAAAAAAAAAAACTACTACTTGAAGAGCAGTGACAACCAGTAGACTCTGCAGCTGGCTTACCTGAGGAGTTCATATCCTAGCACTGCCACTTACTAAATATGAGACCCTGACAGCAACCTCTCTGCGTCAGTTATGTCTTCTGTAAAATGCAAACAAGAGCAATCTCTCCATAGGATTACTGTGAGAATTAAATGTGTCAATAATCCATTAAAATACTTCGCAGCAATGCCTGTCACTTTGTAATACAACTAAGTATTAGCTTCTATCATTATTATTAATATGGGAAATCTTGTTTCTACTTTCTTTTTTTAACAACAAGCTCATCCTCAATTGGCTCTATTTTCTCACATGAGCAAAAACGAAAAAGTTGAGGCCGGGCGTGGTGGCTCACGCCCGTAATCCCAGAACTTTGGGAGGCCAAGATGGGCGGATCATGAGGTCAGGAGATCGAAACCATCCTGGCTTACATGGTGAAACCCCATCTCTACTAAAAATACAAAAAATTAGC